GTGGATGAACAATCAGAAGCTTCTGCCTGAATTTACAGTGGAGAACACAAAGAAGAAAAAAGAAGAAGAAACTCGTTCTGAGCCATGATCTGCACCACATACTTACTGGCTGGTTACACAATATATAATAACTTAGCTCTCAACTGGTCTTTTTCCATCACTTCTTCTATTGGGGATTTTTTTTTTTTGGCGGGGGGTGGGGGGGGGGGGGTGATGTAATTTCCATCTGACAAGATATTTAATATGTGCATTGAGTACAAGTCCTCACTGATTTGTGCCCTTATCCAAGGGTGCTAGACATCCACTCCACTACCTCAGGTTCAGAAGCAAGTTTACAAGTCTTAATTTTTTTTTTCTTAGTCAAAAACCATCCTAGTCCACATTGTGAATTGTGCCCTCCATACAAGCTGTAGATGAACATTGCACTATCAAGCAACTTGTGCCATCCATACAAGCTGAAGATGAACACTGCACTATCAAGCAAAGTTGCTTACAATTCTAAATTTATAATAAACTCAGTGAAGCCATATTCATGAATCTAAGAATCAGGCAGAACCAAAAGATCTTTCCATTCAGATCCAATAGAAAACTGAATAACAACGAGCCAATATTTTAAAATCATGGTCATAAACAGAAAACAAATCAAAACATCAGCAGAAAAAAAAATAATAACTTCAAAACAACTGTTTCAAGATGTCCTCATTATTATCCTGTTGCCGTGTCATCTATACATTATTCAGGTCTTGCAGTTGACCTTCCCTCCCCACCTGTGACCTGTGCACTTTTTTCAATGTAATGTATGGAATCCAGTCCAGCCCCTCTGGCCTCTCTCATCAATATGTTCATTCACTGGGACATCCTTGCTTTCTCTATTTATCTGCTTCCTGTTAGTCTTTTGTGATTCTTTGCCCACTGTGTCTCAACATGCCCCAATATACCGTCATCTTTTTCTTACAACTCTTGTTTCCAGCAGTTACCCCATCCTTTCTCTGAATTCATCCACCCCTATTTTTTTTAAAAATTCATCCCATTTAATATTCAAGCATGTGTTTTAATTTCACTTCATGTCTTTACTTGTTCAACTTTCCCTTATTTCACAGTTTACAAATAAAAATATTAACAAGAAAAGAACCATGTTAAACAAAAAAGAACCATATTAAACAAAACATATCTATCCTTGACATTACTGGCACATAATCAACAGCACCCAGAGATGACAATCCAAGCTGTGGAGACATTTTAAAAAGACAAAAAAAAAAAGTAATTTACAAGTTCTTTTTTTTTTAATGCTGCAGGCTACATAACTCTTGGGAAGATTGCACATAATTTTATACTGCTGAGCACAAGGTGACATTCACTTCTTCTGTCACAGATGAAGACAGTGGTCACAATGAAAATGTGATGATGGTATGACATCCAAAGAGGCAACATTTAATGCATGTTGTGTGAACATAAACTAGGTTGCATGTTAACATTGTAACCAGATATCTTTAGTAAACTCAGACCAAACCCAAAAGATTCAACACACTGTGTGCTGCTTGGTGTGCTAGTCAAATAATTGACCACATATGGTGCGTTGTGTGGGCTTGAAAGAGTTCAGTGTATTAGCATGTGGCTGGCTTGTGAAGCTTCACAATAATCTAATTCACTGGGTTGTTTGTCCGTGGTGTGTCTAGACTTTCATGAATGTCTGCAGTAATCAACTGTTGGATGTTTTGCTTTCCCTAATTATCGCTATCTTGCCTTGTATTTTGTCTCCTAGTACTCTCTAACTGATTCTTTATGTTTCAGCCTGTGACCAAGCCACTACAGCCTTCTTTTTTCTATTACTTTAAGAGATCTTTGTTCACAGTGATATGTGCATGTATATGCATTTGCACACACACACACACACACACACACACACACACAACACACACACACACACACATAAACATATATACACACAACAGGAAAACACCAATTTGCATAACTTACCTAAAACACCAAAATAGCCAAATTTTCCTTAACTAAGATAATTAATAACAGATATTGGCAGGTACAGGAGCCGCCGCTGTGTAGCGGCTAGATGCTCGCCTGCCAATCTGAACATGCTGGCTCAGGTCCTGATGGAGCAAGACTTCTTTCAAAAATTACATTAGCTCCGAGAACTAAGCCTTAAGTAAAGGCTGAGCACATCGTTCATCAAGTTCTATGAAATATAAATCTACCCCTATATGCCCAATACACCTCAAAGTGTTAAAAACGGTCCTTTACTTGGCAGGTATGAGGTAGAAAAACAAAGTATCAGATGGTTAATCAACAATAAGAAACATTCTCAGATGAAAACAAAGTTGCCAGTAAAAACAATGACAGGTCAGTTTGTTACATTAACTCAGCATAACAGATAGGTTTGGAAAAGATAACTATCCCCATACGGGTTCTCGGGCTCCATTTTAAAGAAAAAAATTAGCAGATCTACCCCCAACCCCTGCAACAAGCATGTCATGGGAGACAACAAATTAGGGACATTTCCTTTAAAGTAGGTCAATCTGCATGAGAGACAAAGTAGCAACAGGCTGCATACAAATAGGCCAGATCTGTAAAATGGATGTGCATGTAAAACTCAAGTTCTGGCTCAAGACCAAAGTCCAGGAGTGGATGAACAATCGCAACTTTCTGCTGGAGTTTACAACCAGTGAACAGTAAGAACATGAAAAGATAACAGAATATAATAAAAAGGTAATGAAGATACTTTGGTCCCCCCAAAAAAAACAAGGGTGGTTGTTAGAGGATGCACTAGAGGGACGATAAAGCAGACAGCATTAAGAAGGATTGGCAACATCAATAGACAGATGTTAAGGTGGGAAGACAACATCAAGAGACAGATGTTAAGGTGGGAAGACAACATCAAGAGACAGATGTTAAAGTGGGAGGACAACATCAAGAGGCAGATGTTAAAGTGGGGAGATAACATTAAGAGATAGATGTTAAAGTGGGGAGACAACACCAGGAAATAGATGTTGAAGTGGGGAGACAACATCAAGAGATAGATGTTAAAGTGGGGAGACAACATCAAGAGATAGATATTAAAGTGGGGAGACAACATCAAGAGATAGATGTTAAAGTGGAGAGACAACATCAAGAGACAAATGTTAAAGTGGGAGGACAACATCAAGAGGCAGATGTTAAAGTGGGGAGATAACATTAAGAGATAGATGTTAAAGTGGGGAGACAACACCAGGAAATAGATGTTGAAGTGGGGAGACAACATCAAGAGATAGATGTTAAAGGGGGGAGACAACATCAAGAGATAGATATTAAAGTGGGGAGACAACATCAAGAGATAGATGTTAAAGTGGGGAGACAACATCAAGAGATAGATGTTAAAGTGGGAGACAACACCAGGAGATAGATGTTAAAGTGGGGAGACAACACCATGAGATAGATGTTAAAGTGGGGAGACAACATCAAAAGACAGATGTTAATGTGGGGAGACAACATCAAGAGACAGATGTTAAGGTGGGGAGACAACATCAAGAGATAGATGTTAAAGTGGGGAGACAACATCAAGAGACGGATTGAAAGGAGCCTCATGAATTTTCCAAGAAGATACCAAAAAGAGTTTACAGAAGTCTCATTAAAGCCAAACTTTCAAAGTAGACATACATGGAAGGAAACACAGTGACACCAGACAGTAATCTGGGAAACAAAATGACTAGAAAGCTTCACAACTAGCCTGGATTGAATTTTGAATTAAGTATCAACATCACAGTACTAGGGACACTCCCATAAGTTCTCAGTCTCCATCTTCAGCAGCAAGCAAAGAGTTCCAATTCCAATAGTGCCAGTAACCGTCTGATTGTACATTCGCGTCATCCCTCCCCTGAGTGTTGAGCATCGGCCAGATCCCCTGGTAACTCCTTGCAGTGCCATTCTCCTCAGACCGTAATGATCAATCTGCAAAACTGCACTGTTCACCTGTTCCCAAAGGGTCCTCACAATATCTAACTTGTCATACATCAATTCACCACCAAGTGGTGCAGAGCCAGCCAGTTTATCTGCCTGCTAGTTTCCTAACACACCTTGATAACTCAGAGAAAATATCCAAAGGATGCTAACTACCAGGGACCTCTGAAGTGATGCTTGCCACTCTGCCCGAAGCATGCCTGTTATTTTTACCTTTCTCATCATGCTCTGTGAGTGACTAGCCTGGGTGGTGCCAATAATTTTCGTCTTCTTATTTTACCCAATCTACTTGACCAAACAGAGGAAAACTTTGTTCTCCTTAACGATAAGTTTAAAAGAAGTAAAGCACGTTAAAGATGAATTATGCATATATTGATTTTAAAAACAGATAAAGAATAGAAATTACCCTATCATTGGTAATACCAGCTAGCCAGGCATATTTTGGTTGATGGCATATGCCCCACTGGAGGAGGGGAGGTGGATACAAGGTAGAAGTGGAAACAAAAGAATCAATACCTCGCTTTTAGGCCCATAATAACGGATGTTCTTGCTTGTAGCACTGACGTTCATCACGGTGATGGGGAGTCTAGACAGCGTGTGCGGCACTGTGTTGAAGAACTGCAACACTGGTGGCATGATCCGGACGCCAAACACGTCTCCTGCCATGCTGCTGGTTAACAATTTAGTTTAAAATTCAGAGCCTGGATTAAACGTTCGAGTAAAAATACAAATGTCAGGTCTGACCATTTTCTCTTCATGTTTCCATTCGTTGCTGGGGACGCTACACCAAGTGTTTCTTTCGCGGGCGCAAAATAACATTTTAAATATCACGCATTACTGCTTAGAAAAACATAAATGCAAGAATTTCACAATTACACGCAATGCGTTATAGTAGCAGCAATGTAAATTTTGTTTTGTCTGTAATATTACACACAAGTGTGTTATCAAAAGTACGAAGATAAGTACTGACTTTACCTAGTTGTAGCCAAGGTAACTGTTGTGACAATAACTGCCGGAGAGAGACGCCGTGGCGGGAGATACAAACACAGAACATGGGCCTTGACTACTACCGGATCTTACACCTGCCTAGGTGTGCCACCATTGCCGATATCAAGAAAGCGTAAGAAAAGCACACACGCAGCAGCAATATGAAACTTGTATACGTGTTGTATATCTCTTGTCATTCTAGATCAACTGAAACCATCGTTGTCATCATCACATGCTTGCTGTTGGTTGGCTTGGCCCAACCACTCCCTCCCCCCTCCCTCCACCCCCCACCCCCCCCCCCCAGGTTACGGGGCTCAAATTTTTTTTTTTAATTTAAACATCGCTGATGGTCTTAACCTGCATTGTACCAAACTGTATATACAGACTTGGAGATCTACTTACCCTGGGGGGGAGGGGGGTTTCTGTCTCACTGGAACGTACATCACAGACTAACTCACAACATGCCACATAAACACTTCTTCCTGCTTCTTTAAATTTATCAGCTCGACACTTCTAATAGTCCAGGAAGCCAGCGTCTGCTCACTATATTACATGTAATATTTCATTGTTGTTGGCAATCCTGTGAAATTGATTTATGTGAATGAATATGTGTGTGTGTGAGTCTATATAAAGTGTATACAGTTTCTAGTGACATGGTATAGTGCTTGTATAAATCTTCCCAAATATTGTTCATAGATACCGGAAGCTGTCGCTGAAATATCACCCTGACAAAAACCCTGGCGACCAGAATGCTGCCGACATATTCCTGGAGATTGCAGAAGCTTATGATGTCCTCACAGATTGTAAGTAGACTTATCCAGTCTTCTAGAGAAAACAGCTTGGAGGTTGCGTCGTCCACAGTGGGTTCGATAACTGCCATGTTGGCTCATGTCAAAGGGCTGGGGATTATAGCAGAGGGCATTGGTTACTTATTGTGTCATGCTGTCTTCTTGGATACATGTCTGGGAAAACATGAGACTTTAAGCAAACATTGCTGCTGGTTGGAGGGGGCGCGGAGGTTCAAATGGGAACGGTAAATACTAGAACTTAAGACCCCAGCCTAACAAAATTCTAACAATTGTTAAAGGTAAACAGATTGATCCATTGTTAGAACTAAAATCACAGCTCTGCTTTTGGGCTTTTATCTTCATTTTACATAATAATTCTTAGACTGTATACTGCATTGTAATACTGTAAAAGAAACAAACGTCAGCATTCTGCAACAACTTAACACTTACAACTATTGCTTAATTAACAGTTTGTATCTCGAGAAGACAAATACTTAGATCATTTTACCCGTTCCATGAGTAAGAAGCAGAAGGCTTCTAGAAAATAGACTGTCTCGATAAAGATCTAAGCATGCCATGACTAGTGAAAGCTTTGCTCTATCTCTATCTCTACAAAGATGGAGACGCTCCATGACAATTGAAGGACTCTCTACGTGCTGATGAGCAACTGGGTGCGTGGAAACAGAACCAGATAATCGTTGTTGGGACATAACATACTAATGTAGTCACTCGTTGAAGAAAACCAACCGAACTGAATTAATCTGACGGTAACAGACAGTAGGGGTACGGTAGGATGGCTGCTACATCTCAGAACTGAGCACGCATGGGAATGCCCAATGTTTAGTGTTGAAAATTTTGATAAATAAAAAAGAGATACCGTTTAAACGCTTTACTGCACAGCAGAGAAGCTGGGAAGCGCAGTGACTAGCGTACAAGTTTGTCCACCCTGTAATCATGGGTTTGAATCCCCATCAGTGCCATTTTAAAGTTGATGTGACTTCCTGGTCAACCCAGCCGATAATGGAGACTTTGCATCTATGGGAAGTAAAGGTGGCTATAAGGCTGCAGATTGCTGTAGTAAAAACATACAAGGCTAAAACTATATATGCCCAACACACCTCACTGTGTATAAATTAGTCATTTACTTTACTGACTGCACATAATATTTACAATTTATTCTAAACAAAGTATTTGCCCTGAATAGATTAACATCGACATCTTCTGATAATTTGAAACACGAACTAAAGCTTGACTTCATATGTATACAGCCAAGAGAAAAGCGGTATACGACCAGTTTGGGGAAGAAATCCTGAAAAGAGGTCTAACGGATGCAGTGGGAAAATGGGATGTTTCATTCTCGCTTGGATACAAGTTCCACGGAAATGCTGACAAGGTGTTCTCTGACTTCTTTGGGGGAGACAATCCGTTTGCAGGTGAGAGTTGTGAGTACTGGATCACTGTCAACGCTTTGTCGACTATTTAGGTACATGGTACTAGCCATAATCTGTGTAGGCCAGCTGACACTCGTTCGATGGAGGAGTCTTGCGGTCATCAACAGCAGAATATTCCTTGGTACAAAGTTTAAGCTAGGTCAGAGTGGTAGTCAAACTCTTGGGGTGGGGTGGGAATTCGAACAGGTGGTCACCTGGACGGCAAGTAAACCAACTAACCTTTATAAGCTGAGTACTCTTAGGGAAGCTCGGCTACAGGCCGTGAGATGATATAAATATCTAGGCAGCTAGGTAAAACAGGTTGGGAGAATAGACAGTCACGCGTATATTGAATTAGAACACAAAATAACGAATACAAGAAACGCGAAAATTTAAAAAAGTACCAACGTACTTTCTGAAATGTCAAACATTACTAACCTATGTACCAAAGGCAGTAATATTTAACGCTTCCTTCCCCCCCCCCCCCTCCCTTTCGCGCCCCAACCTAAATATTCAGTCAGTTGTCGTTTGTGGTCCTCATGGCAACCCATTCGAGGGACACTCAGCCTATCCTACCATACTGCAGATCACTGCCAGCTCCAGATTTATAAGGCCGTACAGCTCGAACGGGAACGGGATTTGTAATACGAATACAATCAGAACACAGAAGTTTGTAAGCATATTATAATGTCACAAAATGCAACATGGAAACGCTGGCAGTAACCTATTTTCGAGGAGGACTCGTCGAAAATGTGCCATGATTCAGTAGTACGGCCTTACTGGAGGTGGCCGTGCTGCAGATCAACAAGGTCCACAGATACCGCGTTCAGTCTCCACAGAAGTTATAAAAAGGGCACCGGTAGAGGTGAAACCGGCCAGATGTGAACATGCAGTCTTGTATAGCTAAGGTCACTTTCTCTATCTCGACTGTTGAATGGCGATGTTTAGAACAGATTTTTTGGTAATTCGTTATCTTCGTGGACTAGTGATCACGTCTCCTGAAGTTTCGTTATGTTTAAATATATGAAGATAACCACTTGTTATTTTATCGTCTGTCAGAGTTCTTTGATCTGGCCAGATCAAATTGTAACCAGCGATGTAGAAAGGGACATGCTGGCCAAACACAGGGACAAGATCCACCGATTGAAGCGTTTTTGGACTTAACGCTTGAGGAAGTGTTTCATGGATGTATAAAGAAGATGCCAGTTTGTAAGCGGGTAAGAAACGTGTCCGTTGTATTCTTGGTTTTACTAGATTCTTTGACTGCAAACTCTTTCTGTTGTTAACTCTTTATTGTTCCAAGCAAGACACCATATATGCTTGACTATTCTTCGTGTGTATTGTTGCGCACGTTAAAAAAATCCCTTGGCATTTAGTAATCGAAAAAGAGTAACCTAACGGCGCTGCCCGGGCAGAAATTTGTAGTTAAAAATCTACCAAAAGTGGTGCTACGGAACTCGTGCACTGCGCTGAGATTCTTCGGATTCGGGCTTGAGTCAGAAGTAGAATAGAGCACTTATGAACTTATCCATCGTCTAAACTTAATGTTTGGGTGTGTCACTAATTTTATATGCACGATTGTACTTCATTCAGCCAGAGCATGCTTAAGAAATCTGGCAACATTCACTTTGAAAAATGTGTTATTTCTCTCGTTCGAAAGCAATGCCTGTTTTCATGTGAAAACGGCCCTACTCTTTGCCGATCCCTTGAGAACGGCTGATTTTTTTTTTTTTTAACCAACCTTGGTTTACAACTCGATCCTGCCTAAATATATTCTGGACATACTCCTGCAAATAAAGATGGCCGACCGGAGACTGACGACGTCATCTATCGAGAGAAGAGTATGATGATCAAGTAGCAAACACTGATGAAAATATTTCAATCCTCCTCAAGACTGTGGCAGTCTCTGTTGAACCATACTGGCCAGGGCTTTTTGCCAAGGCATTGACTGGATGGACTCAGTGTGAAAGATCTGATCACCAGTGTAGGAAGTTCCACTGGTGCTGGAACTGCGGCTGCTGCCCCAGCTGCAGGCAAACCGATCGCTGCAGAAGCAAATAAATAGGAAAATAAAGAAGAATCTGAAGCATCCGATGATGACATGTGTTTTGATCTGTTTGACCAATCGCCATTGACAGTAAAATAAATGTGAAAGAAAGAAAAAAAAAACAGTCTAAAAGACTTCAAAAGTTTGGAGGTGATAAACATGACCCTTAGCGTCGCTTACATCATGCATATCAAACTGAGGGTCCCTAGGCATGTCATGCAACACACGACAACTGACTAAATTCATTTAATAATAATAATAACAAATACTGCTGTCTTATTGTCACCTGTCGCAGCACTGAGAAGCCACGATAAATCGCAGTCTGTTATTGCAAATCCACCTCAGTACCCATTATCATTCATGTCTCGCTTGCACAATCGTACTGTACTAGAAGCAAAGCCTAAGGGGTATGTTTTTGTTACGGCCGACTCTATTTATAAACAGCTCCAGATGGGCGTGGCTTTTGTAAAGGAAGGGGAGGATATAACTATAAACGATTATATACAAATCTACTCCTTGAACATATCTCTACTTCACGCCTACAAGAGCTCCACCAAGTATTGTCGTGGTCAGTGTGAGCCAAACCTCTCTGGCTAGACAAGCCTTTTTATCGACTTCTGGTCTATCCTCCGACAAACGGTCGGCAAAGATGGCGGCCGCAAAATATCATTTCGAGCCACATTCGCGTGTCAGTTGCGCACTAGCGGTCACGAGCTCACCGCGGTGGCTGCTAGTGGGTCCTAGCCATCTAGTTTAGCCCCATTCCACACCGCGACTTCTGATTTCCCAACTGGCCAGATTTTTAGTCCGTTAGTGTAGTCCGACCAAAATTAACAGATCTTCTTTGACACCCTGCCATAGTACCAAGGCCGACCCTGACATATGTAGTTCGCCATGGAGAATGTCCTTAGGGAGTATCACCCTGCACAAACTAGCCCTAGTATGTTTAGACTGTTGTTGCTTGTGTTGACTTGCCAGTTTATCCTTTAGTCGTTTCACATTGTTTTCTGGCCTGAATTATACTGCTGTCAACGTTAAAACAGTGGCAAGCCAACAAAACGTCTGCAGCTGACCTCAAACCCCAGAATGTCGAGACTGTGAAATTATGTTCGTACCCCTTCCCGACGCGAATAGTACACACTGAAGGTCCTAATATATACCAGTGGCGTTTCGGACATACGAGACTAGACTCATTGTATAGACCAAACGTTGGATGAGGGACGTGGTCAACATCCCACCGGTCGCCTTTACTTCCCAGGACTTACCGGGTACCCGTTTAGGGCTGGGTTGAAATCAGAGCTAAAAATTCGGTTTCATGAGGATTTCAACCCACAAACTGCAGATCCGCAGGCCAGCATCTAGCCGCTAGACCATGCTGACTCCATATATATAGTATGAGCACGTAGTGAACGGGAGATGTAAGTCATAAGTACAGAAAATGTGTTCACAAACATCCACTCAACTTCAGGGCCCAGTTAATAACCCGACCAGGTATTTTCCAGGTAATGGATGAGGATGGGATTACTTCAAGCGTGCGTGACAAACCGCTTACTATCTCTGTAGGCAGAGGCTGGTTGCCGGGTACCAGGATTATATTCTCAAACGAAGGTGACCAGTCTTCAAATAATATTCCAGGTTAGTTGAAACTGTAGCAATGATATCCTGTTCAACTCTTATATAATGAGGATGTGTGTGTCTTCTTGCAGATATGTGACTTTTGTTTAGTTTATTCGTGTGTTTTCACAGTAATGTTGCACTTTCCGGCTCTTTTTTCCCCCGTTGTGTAACATTATTTTGTTTTTCCAGAAAGTAGATCTTCTTCTTCTTATCGTTCACTGTCAGAGAAATAGATAGATTAGACAGACAGACAGACAGACAGACAGACAGACAGACAGACAGACAGACAGACAGACAGACAGACAGACAGACAGACAGACAGACAGACAGACAGACAGACAGACAGACAGACAGACAGACAGACAGACAGACAGACAGACAGACAGACAGACAGACAGACAGACAGACAGACAGACAGACAGACAGACAGACAGACAGACAGACAGACAGACAGACAGACAGACAGACAGACAGACAGACAGACAGACAGACAGACAGACAGACAGACAGACAGACAGACAGACAGACAGACAGACAGACAGACAGACTAGACAGACAGACAGACAGACAGACAGACAGACACAGACAGACAGACAGACAGACAGACAGACAGACAGACAGACAGACAGACAGACAGACAGAAGACAGACAGACAGACAGACAGACAGACAGACAGACAGACAGACAGACAGACAGACAGACAGACAGACAGACAGACAGACAGACAGACAGACAGACAGACAGACAGACAGATAGATAGATAGATAGATAGATAGATAGATAGATAGATAGATAGATAGATAGATAGATAGATAGATAGATAGATAGATAGATAGATAGATAGATAGATAGATAGATAGATAGATAGATAGATAGATAGATAGATAGATAGATAGATAGATAGATAGATAGATAGATAGATAGATAGATAGATAGATAGATAGATAGATAGATAGATAGATAGATAGATAGATAGATAGATAGATAGATAGATAGATAGATAGATAGATAGATAGATAGATAGATAGATAGATAGATAGATAGATAGATAGATAGATAGATAGATAGATAGATAGATAGATAGATAGATAGATAGATAGATAGATAGATAGATAGATAGATAGATAGATAGATAGATAGATAGATAGATAGATAGATAGATAGATAGATAGATAGATAGATAGATAGATAGATAGATAGATAGATAGATAGATAGATAGATAGATAGATAGATAGATAGAGAAGAGAGAGAGTAGATAGAAAGAAAGGGCGGGAGAAGGAGAAATAAATGTTTCCACATCCATACATGCCCTGTAAATAGAAGGATTTTGGTGTATCATTCACTATATCATGTATCTTTATGCACGATGTAAACGAGTCTTGACCCCCCCCCCCCCCCCCCCCCCGCAATATAATCGGTAGTTGGTCCACTTCTGAAATGTAGTCTTGTTCCAGAACCTCGGTTTAGCTCAAGAATGGTCTTCGAAATACTGAACAATTTTCTGCAGAGAGAAATAAACATAGGAAGATATTTAGAAATCTCAGTAGCAGCAATATACACCAACAAATGTGTGATTCTGGTGTAGACTAGAATTTGAAGAGGACACAGAAAACGCAGCAAAAAAACAATAACAGCATCAGGGGGTGGATGATGAAGAGGCAGGAGAGGAACAGTCTGGTGGAAAATAATAGAAAATAAAAATATAAATATATAAGATATATAAAGATATGTACATGGAGGTCTTGCAACTGTCAATTTGTTCCCTAACGACAGCTGATATTGTGTACACTGTGAGAGACAAGCCACATCCCAGGTTCCGAAGGGAAGGTACCAGCTTGATTCACCTGGCTAGAGTGTCTTTGGCACAAGCTTTACTGGGTTGTTTGTTGTCTATTCAAACACTGGATGACAGGATTTTGCATATTCCAGTAACCGACATTGTGTGGTGAGTTATTTCTTTCCCTCTTTCTTTCGGTTTTTAACAGAGTACATGTTTTTGACTAACTATAGCACACGTCTTTAACTATAGAATAGACCTTAAGCTAACTATAGCATAGGTCTTTAACTAACCATAGGACATGCCTTTAACTAACTATAGCACGAGACTTCAGCTAACTGGGAGTAGCCGTGGCCGAGCGGCTAGACGCTCGCCGCGGATAGGAAGGTCGTGGGTTCGCTCCCTGGCGGAGCCGGACTTTCTCAAAAATGACCTTGGCTCTCAGGTCGACCCAGCCTTGAATAGGTACCGGGTGCAGTCTCGGAAAGTAAAGGCGGCCGGCGTGATGCTGACCACATCACCCATCTTGTGCCGATTGGTCTATAAATAATAAAGGTCTAACCCTATATGCCCTATACGCCTAAAAGCGTGGAAAAGGGTCCTTTACTTTACTTTATATTTCAGCTAATTATAGCACATACCTTCAACTAATTATAGCACAGGCTTTTAACTGTCTATAGCACGGGCCTTCAACTATCTCACGCCAAAGAAGATTTTTTGGATCTTACAGATCAATTTTTGTACAGGATAAGTTAGCCAGCCTCACCCAACCCTCCTTGGTGGCCTCTGACAGCAGGCATGACTGATTAAAGTGTTAGTATGATAAGAATAAACTGTAACTATACTTGGCTTTCACCACAACCCCCCCCCCCCCACATGTTCACACAGCGTTCACGCAGGTCGCATAATGTTCACACAGGTCACATAATGTTCACACAGGTCACACTCATGTTCACACAGGTCACACACATGTTCACGCATGTTAACACTAGAGAGGCAGTTGCTGTGGAGAGTGATGGTTGTCCATAGAGGTTGACAAAGAGAGTGGCGAGGCAGAGGAAAAGAAGGAGGAAGAAACAATTTAGGAAGACAAGAAGAAGAATATGAACTCTATTGGAGGGCTATTCAGCTGGTGGCTTGCAGATGCCTAGCCAGTGGCCTTTGACCTCTAGCCTGTGGTGATTACCAGTTTGGCCCCTGAGTAAACTTTGATGAATAGCCCTGATTTAAAGTATTAGCAATTATAGTGAGTATTTCCGTTGAAACATACTGGATACACATGATAATAATATTGGCTATAGACTGGAGTAGGAAGAAAGTAATTGCTAACACCAAGAATGGAATTCAGTGGACCCCTACAAAACAGCTTGATGATCTGGACTTCGCTGATGTATTTCTCTTCCGTCCCATTTACGGAATCAGATGCAAGATAAATTAAATATAGTTGATGCGAGATCACAGCAGCTAGGTCTGACAATCTATAAAGAAAAAGACAAAGATAATGATAATAAATCAAGCAAATAGTAAAGTTGTTTCTCTTAATGGCACCCCAATCTAAGACATGGAGTCGTACACCTATTTGTAGATAAAGATGGGGGAACCAATAGAGATATTAAAATAAGAATACAAAAGGCAAGAGGAGCTTTCATAGCACTATGGAATTTGTGGAGGTCAAAAGAAATTAAAAGAAATACTACATTTAAAATAGAATCACTAATGTAGAGCTTTGTGATAGAACTAAGCAAGCTCCAGTGGACCAAGAGGCGAAGAAAAGATGCTGGTGTTTGATAGAGCACACATTGAGAAACCTAGAGAACAATATAACTAGAATGTCTTTTCCACTGGAACCCACAAGGGCATAGGAATAAAGAAAGGCAACAAAAAAAAAACACATGGAGAAAGGAGCTGAAGAATAAAGTTAGAAAGATAGGGAGAGCTGCATGTGATGGCTAAGGATAGAACGACTTGGCATCAGTTGGCTGAGGGCCTATGCTCCATTGGGGGCTAGAAAGGCAGAAGAAGAAGCATTTCCAGTGAAACATACTCGTTACATATGATAATAAATATTGTGTTTATGTCCACAGCCCTGGATACACATGACTGAATAATAAATATTGTGTTTATGTCCACAACCCTGGATACACATGACTGAATAATAAATATTGTGTTTATGCCCACAGCCCTGGATACACATGACTGTATAATAAATATTGTGTTTATGCCCACACCCCTGGATACACATGACTGTATAATAAATATTGTGTTTATGTCCACAGCCCTGGATACACATGACTGAATAATAACTATTGTGTTTCTGCCCACAGCCCTTGATACACATGACTGTATAATAACTATTGTGTCTATGTCAACAGCCCTGGATACACATGACTGTATAATAACTATTGTGTCTATGTCCCCAGCCCTGGATACACTTGACTGTATAATAACTATTGTGTTTATGTCCACAGCCCTGGATACACATGACTGTATAATAACTATTGTGTTTTTAAGTCCACAGCCCTGGATACACATGACTGTATAATGACTATTGTGTCTATGTCCACAGCCCTGGATACACATGACTGTATAATAAATAACGTGTTTATGCCCACAGCCATGGATACACATGACTGTATAATAAATATTGTGTCTATATCCGCAGCCCTGGATACACATGACTGTATAATATCTACTGTGTCTATGTCCACAGCCCTGGATACACATGACTGTATAATAAATATTGTTTTTGTGTCCACAGCCCTGGATACACATGACTGTATAATAAATATTGTGTTTATATCCGCAGCCCTGGATACACATGACTGTATAATAACTATTGTGTTTATGTCCGCAGCCCTGGATACACATGACTGTATAATAACTATTGTGTCTATGTCCACAGCCCTGGATACACATGACTGTATAATAAATATTGTTTTTGTGTCCACAGCCCTGGATACACAATGATAATAAAAGGGGAAGGAATGCCGCTGGTCTGTGCCCCGTGTAATAGGGGTGATCTCATCATAGAATTTGACATCGAGTTTCCATGTTATTTAACACCTGAGAAAAAACACCTGATTCAGAAAGCACTTTTATCTTAGTCCTCTTAAAGATATTTTACAATAACAATGAAATGATGCCTTCGCTTGAAATAGTTTGGTAATACACTGCTTTCATATAAAAAAAAAACAGAAACACTAGCAGCCATCAATCAAACTGTAGAAAAAATACTCTTGTATTCTAAATATTAACTGCACAGAGGAGAGAGAAAACAAGTGTATTTAATAAAGAATCAACATGCAAATGCTGAAGATTGGCTAAGCAAAAACTGAGGAAAATGAAGTATTTTAGTTGTCTAAATGAAGGTGTTCTGGGACTGAAGAAATGAGAAAGACCAGGTTTATTTCCCAACCCATCAGCATGTCCAGAAAAAAAGATCCAATAGACTAACTGCCCGAGACGTCTGAAGTGATAACTGCCTGGCAAACACAACCTGGCAAGCCATATATTACTGGATTCACTGTGATACTGTCGAGTACTATCAACCTTACATATGTACTGGAACAGTCACAAACACTTTAATAGACTGACTACACCTTTTATATTGTCTTTTGTTTACTTACTTGACATGTTTTACTTTCTTTGAGTTCATGCTTATGTCTTTGGAATGCATAAATATAATTGTACTGTTACAAATATAATACTTGTAAATATAATAAAAATGAAATTTTCATTTTAAGTGGCATGTGGAATTTTTATTTGTAAGTCGGCTGTTGTTTTGGACTGGAGGGGGTAGAGGCTTTTCTCTTTTTAGCGTTTACTGGCTGTAAACTCTGGCAAAAAAATGTGGGTTGTTTGTCCCCCTCTAGACCTTTGGTCTTGTTACTTTGCCGGTGTTCAGCTAATGTTCATACAAGAGACAAGGGAAAGGAGGCAGTATTAGTAAATTGTCAAATGTTCTAAGATACTAGTTACTTTGCTGGTGTTCAGCTCAGGTTTATCCAAGAGACAACAGGAAGGAGGCAGTATCAGTAAATTGTCAAACGTCTAAGATACTTGTTACTTTGCCGGGGTTCAGCTAATGTTCATACAAGAGACAGGGGAAAGGAGGCAGTATTAGTAAATTGTCAAATGTCCAAGATACTTGTTACTTTGCCAGTGTTCAGCTCATTTACATACAATAGTCAAGTGGAAGGAGACAGGTATTAGTCCATTGTCAAATGTCCAAGATACTTGTTACTTTGCTGGTGTTCAGCTCAGGTTTATCCAAGAGACAACGGGAAAGAGGCAGTATCAGTAAATTGGTAAATGTCCAAGATACTTGTTACTTTGCCAGTGTTCAGCTCAGGTTCATACAAGAGACAAGGGAAAGGAGACAGTATTAGTAAATTGTCGATTGTCCAAGATACTTGTTACTTTGCTCAAGTTCATACAAGGGACAACGGGAAGCAGCAATGTAAGACAGCATGTGTGTTTTAAATGGGGTTTTAAAAAAAAATTATGAAAAAAATAATAATTTAAAAATAGTCTACCTAGCCTAGGAGAAAAGAATGTGAGAGGTGACAGATTAATAGCATAGGCTGAGTCACGCAGCATGATAGTAGGAAAACTTGGAAAAGTCCTGGTGATAATGTCCGCAATCAGACTGATTATATTTTGATTTCAAGAAGATTCCGGAGCAGCTTAGTTGGAGCAAAAACTAGACCAGGAGCAGACTGCTTTAGTGACCATCTTCCAGTTGTAGGAAAAATTAGAATAAAACTAAAAAACATTAGAAAAACACCACAGAACATCAAGTTAAATTTAGGAATTCTTAGAACGGATACAGAAATTAAGGACCTGTACAATGTAACTGCTCAAAACCGGTATAATGCAATGGAAATTACACAGACTATTGATGAACAGTGGGATATATTGCGTGAGTCAATTCAGCAGACATCTAAAGAGACAATCCCACCAACCCATAGAGTTGCAAAAAAAGAAATGGATGTCAACCGAAATTCTGCAGTTGATGGATGAAAGAAGGAAGAAAAAGAATGATAAAGAATAATACTCTAGAATACAAAAAGAAATAGTGAACAAATGCAAAGTGGCTAAAGAAGCCTGGCTGAATCAAATGTGTACAGAGATTGGGGAAAACAACAGGAAAGACTCACATTCCATGTACCAACATATAAATACGTTAACAGGAAAGATGACACGTAACAGCACTGGATGTTTGAAATCAAAAGATGGTGACTTATTAATGGGACATAGTAATATAATTAACAGATGGACAGAGTATATGGGGGAATTGTATGATGATAGTAGACCAGATGTAGAACTGTAGACCAACAGTGATGGTCCACCAATAATGACTGCAGAAGTTGAGGATGCAATACATTATATAAAGGAAGGAAAAGCACCCGGGCCAGACAACATCTCACTGGAAGAAATCGAAGCACTCTGAGATTTTGGAATTGAAATTAAACTTTTAAATGATATTTATAATAGTGGGTATATTCCAAATGACCTTTTTAAATCCATATTTATAGCTCTGCCTAAGAAACCAGGCACTATAAAATGTGAAGACCATCGCACAAAAAGTCTTATGAGTCACATGACTAAGATTTTACTGAGAATAATTATGAGAAGAATAAGAAATAAAATTAAACCAGAAATCAGCGATGAACAATGTGGATTTGTAGAAGGAAAAAGGGCAAACGCCATATACATTCTAAGGACATTGTCAGAAAGAGCTATAGAAGTAAAGACTGATTTGTACATATGCTTTATAGACTATACAAAAGCATTTGACTGTGTGAAGCATGAAGAAGTAATCAAACTGTTAGAAAAATTAAACATTGATGGAAAGATCTACGAATAATAAAGATTATGTATTGGCAGCAAACAGCAGCTATAAGAATAAACAACTGTTTAGGTACATTTCAAAGCATAAAGAGGGGCGTACGACAAGGATGTGTACTGTTACCTGATTTGTTTTCAATATACAGTGAATAAATAATGAGAGCTTTAATTGGTATGCCCGGAATTGTGGTTGGTGGGCACAATATAAACAATTTACGTTATGCTGATGACACAGTCTTGATAGCAACAAGTCAGAAAGAACTACCGGAAATGATAGACATTGTGGTTTTAGAAAGTGGAAGAATGGGCCTCAGTTTGAATAATGGGAAGACAGAAGTAATGGTGGTATCAAAGAAACGAATTATTCCTAAGTGTGTAATAAAAGTTGATGGTGTTATTTTAGGACAAGTACAGAAATTTAAGTATCTGGGCACATGGATAACATCAGATGGAAGATGCATAAAAAAGAAACAGAATAGGACAGGTAAAAAGTGCATTTTATAAAATGAAAAACATCTTGTGCAATATATCCTTGTCATTGAGAGTTAGAAAAAGAATTCTTGCTTGCTACATACATCCAGTTTTAACATATGGCTGTGAATCCTGGACAATCGGTAGGCAGGCCAAAAAATTTCTAGAGGCCTCAGAGATGTGGTTTTACAGAAGAATGCTTAGAATACCCTTGACAGCCAAAAAGAGCAACCAAGAGGTTTTGAAAGAGGCGGGAGCCCGAAGACAACTTATTACAGACATCAGAAGGAGACAGTCATCATTTTTCGGCCATGTTATGAGAAGAGGGAAAATAGAACATGTTGTGACCACTGGAAAGATCTGTGGAAGGAGGGATAGAGGAAGACAACGAGAGAAAATTCTTGACAGTCGTGTTGCATGTTGTCATGGAGGTGTGTCGGCACACGAACTGATACATGCTGCAGGAGATCGCAAATTATGTAGAGGCATGATCGCCCACGCCAGTCGGCAAGGCACCTGATGATGATGAATTATCGAGGCCGAAAATATACCCTAACATGGCCTTAGTCACATGAAAATTGTGGACTTCCGCCACCGCCGAGAGTATCTCCCATGCTGCTACGCGTGGCGCTAAACTAGATGGCTGGGACTCACGAGTAAATAAACTGAAGGAAGCTACAGGAAATGCGGTAGCAGCTGCTCGTGAGTCCCAGCAATCTAGTTTAGCCCCAATGCACGCCGCGCATAGCCGCATGGGCGATACTCTCTGCGGTGGCGGTAGTCGCCGGAAATGCGCAACTTGAGTCGCCGGAAGTTCGCAATTCACATGTGACTGAGGCCCTGTTAGGGTATATTTTCAGCCTAGATAATTTGGGACCGTTATTCTGAGGATAGCCGGATATTTTTTTAATCTGGTATTGATCTCTAAATCTGTGTACACTCGCTGCGTCCATGTAGTTTTTATTTTGTTTCATCCTGGTCTCCGGAAAAAATGTAAACCGCTGGAACAGGTGTAGATGTAGGAGACGGTTACGCTAATCTTGCTTTTTCTTGGTTGACCATTGAGTGTCTTATCTTTGATTCTTTCCGTACTTCCCCTTGTCAGGATTGCTCGGGCATTGCCATTATGACACTTGTATAATAAGTTTATTGGAGAGAATTTCACTGATAGAGCTGACACATGGTCTGCGATGCTAGTTGTCACATCGCTGCATGCCTCTGTAAAGAGTTGCCGGCTCTCCTTTGAATAACGGTCCCAAATGATCTATGCAGAAAGTTAACCCTAACAGAGCCTCATTACATCCTACCCTACAGAGATTTAAAAGTTGTAGCTCGGAAAATATAAGGCACGAAAAGTATGAGGAAAAGGGTGAAGTCTACTTACCTACAGTTAAATCCTTTATATGCGAAAATTGTGGCACAGAAGTTGCAAATAGTGCCCGAATATCTGTTCTTTCTGTCTGTCCGCCATTTCAACAGGGCGCAGCTTGTCCGCAATTCTTGTTTCGGGCGAGACGTAATCAATAATGTGCGTTGTAATGTACGCGCACGTCGCCTCGGGACAACTTCAGACCAGAAGTTGCCTCGGGACAACTTCAAACCAGCAGCCGCCACTATGGCGCTCCACTATCCCGACCACCCCTTGACCGTGGCGAATGCGACCATGCTTGCAGTTGCGACGGAAGAAATAGCTCTTGACTGTTTTCCTGCGACTATAGTGCCACATCCCACAATATCCCCTGCGCCGCGCGATGCGGAAGGGGCTAAACTAGATGGCTAGGACTCACGAGCAAAAACAATGGAGGAAGCTGTAGGAGAAGCGGTAGCTGCTGCTCATGAGTCCCAGCCATCTAGTTTAGACCCTTCCGCGGCGCGGGGGATGCTCTCGGAGGTGGCACTAAAGTCGGCGAAAAGTGGTCTGCAACTTACACATAACTGTGGCCCTGCCATAGGATTGCGCTATCGGGAGTATTCTTGCATGCCGCTGATTTTTCGTCCGTAGTTAATCCTAGTTTTGCCGCCGTTTGATCGCCGTAAAAAAGTCGGTTGCGTTTCACGAAAATGTCGTGCACAATTAATCCTACTTTTGTCGCGGTAGATTCACTACAAAAGAAATGCAAATTTTAGATATGAGTGAGGCTCTGTTAGGGTTAACTTTCTGCGTAGATCATTTGGGACCGTTATTCACAGGAGAGCCGAGTTGCCCAGTCCTGTTGTCAAGGTGTTGATGAGATGATGACAGGTGATAAGAAAGTTCAGCTGCCAGTTTTTTTTAGAGCAATTTCACCTTGTCATGGACTGACCTGGTGTTTGCGTGTAAGCATTAATATAATGTATAGTGACAAGTGTAGTAGTAAAATATGATAATCAAAAGTTACAGAAAATACTCTGTACAAAAACCATAGTGAAAACAAAGCAGTGATGCAAGGCTGATAAACATAACTAAGCGAGACCTTGGGGACCCAAAAAAAAGATAAGAGGGTACAGGTGCTAGGCGCCTGTCATTCAGGGGCCATGTGCAATCAAAATGCCGAAAGGGGCTCAGTGCACTGAAAATTATGGCAGCAGTGGACATGGAGCAAAAACTCTTGTTAACTTTGTACAGTACTTGATTATTTCTGTGGTATATTTTGGACTATGGCTGCTCATCGTATCAAAGTGTCAGCTGGTGAAGCTTGAAAGCATACAGAGTAAAGCAGAAGCCATGTGGGTGATTCTAGGAAGTGCCAAAGATGCATCAGAAGTTTATATGCCTTACATCCTTGCACTACTGACTTTTGCTGACATACTGAAGGTGCTGCAAGCTAGATCATACACACAAAAGTCACTGTCCTCGAAGCTCTGAATATACCTAAGTCACAGGTTGATTAGACAGAAGTTTTGGATGGTACAAGCAGGCGACACAATTAGAGATATGTGTTTGCTGGACATGAATTGGGAGTGGAGAGTAGTGGGTCAGACCAAACAAACAACAGACTTGCCTATGGTTGTTATCACACTTGACCAGGAGTGTAGGGATTGGCCAGCAACACTGCAGAATCAGAAACTCAACAATTGATTTATGGTGATTGCTGTAGAGGTGCCTAGTTACCTGAAATACAATGCATGCAACTCTTATAACAAATTACGCCACCAGCACACTCAAAACAAACCCATGTGAGAAGTTACACATCATTAGCTATGTATTGTGATATATGGTCTGACCCAAGGGAGGTTCCCACATTAAACTACCCAGCCACAACCTGCCTGACAGTGCTTTAAAATAGCAGCCTATAAATGGGACCTCTGGCTGCTTCCAGTGTTATTTGGTTTCAATAAACGCCCCTCGAAACTAGTACACTCGATGCCCTAACACAACAGTCTATGCTGGATCTTTTTCAAGGCAGTCTGGACATGCTTGGCTGGACTATCGCTGAGTTCACACCCGAAGGTATAAAGCATGTGACATCGATCCCGTATTCTACACACCATAGGTAACAGCATCATTGTGAATATGCCGTACGATATTAACATCAGTACTTCATAGAATATCTAATTAGCAATATAAAAAACTAACAGCGGCACGGTCTGAGATGATGTATTCCCTATCTGTAAGATATACAGTTATATTTTCTATACACACAAAGAAACAATTACTGAACTACAAACTAAGCTGCTCAAACATTCTATGAATCAGTCAGTCAAAACGAATAACCTTCCGTCACTGACATTAAACATCTAAACTTAGTAAAACAAAGACAAGCATCACATCAAACACAATATAACTGTCATGTCATCCCGTTGTTCGTCAATAGTCCTTCACCTTGGTTAGTCAGGTTTTTCCTGCATCAGCAGTTATTTTAAAAAACTATACAAACTCACAGAAACTACACAAACCTCACAGCAAGTCAGCCTGTCTCGTCTTTCTGTCCCTCATTTATCCTTATATGATATAAAGATCTCAAGTCAGCTAGCCACTGTCATCAGAGAGAGAGACACATGCACGCACACACACACCAAACCATGACAGTGATGTGATTGTGAGCTATACAGATGGCTCTGTGTTGAGATGCGAAAGTGAATGAATGTCACTTAGTGCAACAAAGTCTAGCATATGATACTACAACTGGTTTCAGAATGTAGGCAGAGTTAGTCACAGCAACTCTCCCCTAGCTTGAGAACCAGCTGCACACAGATGTCATAATTGTAACCGACTCACAAAGCATTTTGAGAAAGGATGAGACAGGCATGCTAGGTAGTTAGTGTTCCTTGGATATTTTTCTTCAGATGTGCATGAGAGTTGGCTAGTTCTGCACAAGCGGTGGTGATTTTATGCATGACAAGCTTGATGTGGTCGCATCTATGAAGAATCCTGAGGGTGGTTTGGCTTTGGTCATTGGGGTGGGTCATTCCATTTATGTTCTGACACTAGTTATAGATAAAGCCATGAAAAAGCTCAGTGTGGTGTCATATATATGTGTGTGTGTGTGTATGTATGTGTATCTGTACTATGTCCAGTAGTACTAATCCCATATGTACATATAGTCTGCTTGATTTTGTTTGTTGGGGTGTCCTTGCAGTTTTGCATCCTGGACTTTCAACATCAAAGATGAGTCGAGCAGATCATGTACCCATTCCACAGTCAGATGAAGCAGCCCAGGAATTTGACCAGTCTGCAGAGCCTGAACACAGTTCTGCATCTCTGATTGGATCAGGTCAGAGCAGAGGTGACCGAAAGAATGGCTACTTTACATATTCAGATCCTGACTTCGAGAATGGCTCAGAGAATCCATATAGAGACACCACAGAGAGTGATATTAATATTCGTCACATCCCCCTTGCAGACTTGGTGCCCCGGCCATGGCAGACTTTTGAGCAGGTTCTGGTGGCGTCGTACATCAGCATTGCATTGTTCTTGTTTACAGGCCTGCTTGCTGTCAGATATGCCAGGCGGGGGAAGAGACATCAAAGCAAAGGTTTGATGGGAATGGCACAGAAGGAACTAAAACTGGCTGTATACCTTATCTATGCCAGTGTGGCCTTGGGAATTCTCTTGTACCTTATCATTATTCCCATAGCAGTTTCTGCTTAGAACATTGGTTATATTTGTGGTCACAGAAACCTTAAACACTACAGCTAAGAAGTCATTTTAATAAACAACCCATTAAAATGGGAGTGAGTTTTATTGGGTTCATACCTTGGGTGTTATAATGGTTACATTTTTGAAAACTTAAAACTGTTGTTTTCTTGTTTTTTCCTTTTTTTTTATATACTCTGGGTGTTGCAGTGGTTTATTGTCTGTGTTTTCTTGTGTTTTTTTTTTTTTTTATTTTGTTTAATACATTCTGTTGTTGAAATTAATTTTTGCATTTTACATAAAACTAGTTTCAATTTATGGCTGTGAATCACAGACAATTTAACATCACGGAGAAACCAAAATGTTATGTGATAATTGGTTGTGCAGTAGAAAGCTAAAAATAATGTGAACAGCCAGAACCTAAATGTTTTGAAAGAAAATAAACCAAAAAGAGCCCATACACACCAGAAAGGGACAGTCGTCAGTTTGCTAGAGATACAAACTGTCACATGTCGGAATACTAAGGTCAAACACAAAATTTAGAGAACTGTTTGCCATGTCCCAGAAAGGTGTTAGAGCATGAAAGGATACATGTTGTTGGAGATTGCATGATGTGGAAAAGTATCATCTCTCTTGCCAGTCAGCAGTGGAACTTGATGAATTATTAAATAGTTGTTTATATTTTTATTGAGGTTTTGTTTGGTTGTTTACTGTTTGGGTGTTCTCTGTTTTTTTAGCCTTTTGAAACTGCGTCCCTGGATACACTTTATCAGAGCCTCTGATGTGGAAAGATCTGATCTCAGGCCATCCTGCTATCTCTGCTCTAATGTCTTACCATCTCTGCTCTAATGTCTTACCATCTGTGCTCTGATCTCATACCATCTTACAATCTCTTCTGTAATGCCTTACCATCTCTGCTCTAATCTCATACCATCTTACCATCTCTGCTCTAATGTCTTAGCAGCTTACCATCTCTGCTCTAATGTCTTACCATCTCTGTTCTAATCTCACACCATCTTACCATCTCTGCTCTAGTATCATGCCATTTTACCATCTTTGCTCTAATCTCATACTATCTTACCATCTCTGCTCTAATGTCTTATCATCTCTGCTCTAATGTCTTACCATCTCTGCTCTAATGTCTTACCATCTCTGCTCTAATCTCACACCATCTTACCATCTCTGCTCTAGTATCATGCCATTTTACTATCTCTGCTCTAATATTATGCCATCTTACCATCTCTGCTCTAATCTCAAAACAATCTCTGCTCTAATCTCACACCATCTTACCATCTCTGCTCTAATGTCTTACCATCTCTGCTCTAATCTCACACCATCTTACCATCTCTGCTCTAGTATCATGCCATTTTACTATCTCTGCTCTAATATTATGCCATCTTACCATCTCTGCTCTAATCTCAAAACAATCTCTGCTCTAATCTCACACCATCTTACCATCTCTGCTCTAGTATCATGCCATTTTACTATCTCTGCTCTAATCTCACACCATCTTACCATCTCTGTTCTAGTATCATGCCATTTTACTATCTCTGCTCTAATCTCATATCATCTTACCATCTCTGTTCTAGTATCATGCCATTTTACTATCTCTGCTCTAATCTCATACCATCTTACCATCTCTGTTCTAGTATCATGCCATTTTACTATCTCTGCTCTAATCTCATACCATCTTACCATCTCTGTTCTAGTATCATGCCATTTTGCTATCTCTGCTCTAATCTCATACCATCTTACCATCTCTGTTCTAATATCATGCCATCTTACCATCTGTGGTCTTTCTCCTAGATAATCTTGACGGAACACCTTCATTCTTTGTCTTATATGTAAACACTGATCATGAAATAGACAGACATACTACAAAGTTGTCCATGTCTAGTGATGGAGATGTTTTAGCCTCCTCTGTTGTTTCATTCATAGCTAAATCAAGCTCAGAGAAAATATTTTATTTGACTACTAGGTACAGTCATCTTTATTTGCACTTGTACCGCCGTTCTGCTACAGTATAAACTGGCTGGTTGCTATTTTACATTGCACATTTAGTCTTCTCTCTATAAGACATGATTCCCCTGGAGTTTGTCAACGTCATAATTGTCAGTCATCTACATAGCCTGGGTTTTCAGGATTCATTTTCTTTTAAACATTCTTGGATCAGATCTGTGTTCTTGACCTGCCCATGCAATAAGGTTAGGCCAACCAGGTGTTTGTCCTCCCATTGCTCATGTAACCTTTTTTCAATCAATTTGCCATTGCATTTCTGCCCATAACTTGCCCAAAACATCTGACTTTCGAAATCTAATTTCCATTATCAGTTTTCTTTTTCATCTGTTTTGTAAAGGACTTTCTTGTCAGTTTTCTGAGTCTTCTGTTTTGTAAAGGACTTTCTCGTCATTTTTCTGTTTCATCTGTTTTGTAAAGGACTTTTAAAAGTTTTTTTTATATTCATCCATTTTGTTCTTTTCTTGTGCATGTCCCCCTTGCATCACTCTGTCACTAGATGTTTCTCAACTTGCCTGCTTATTTGTTGTCTATGTTTCAGATGCATATGTCTTAATTCTATATAGCATTGAGTCCTTTTTTTTTTGGTCACCATACATTCAAGATGAGGTGAATTGTGAGCTTCTCTGGCCTACATATTAGGATCTCAAGTTTCTAAAGGGTTTGTGTTTGAACACTTATTTTTCAATTCACTAGAAATGTTTGTACCAATTTATTATAAAATAATTCATTATTTTGCTTTATTTGTTAATTCTTAAGGTACCTCAACCCACTTTAATTGGCAAGCTGTATACTTAGGGTGGCTCTCAAAGCTATGATTTTTGTGTGTGACTGTTTTGTATATGCTACGTATTTTATATAGTTTTGTGGAATAATGTTTCATTAATGCACATTTTATATATGAACATTGTAAATTTATATAGTAATTTTTTTTATGGCAAACATTACCAGTGATAATTATTACCTATTTCTTATATATGAATAAGTGGTCATATAGTACTTGATCGGTGATAAAATAAGTTCATATTCAGGAGTAAAACATAATGTTTGTAATCATGATGATATGGCTATTCCAAGGTAAATGCCTTGAAAATTGTTTGCTGGACCACACAAAAATAACAAAATTTCTGGGCAAGACAGAACAAGACAGAATGCTGCAAGCAACTACCAGGAAGACCTTATGCTGCAGTAGTAGTGCCAGATTTTAACACTGTCACCTATCACATGTGGATAGACATGTCAAAGGTCACCAGAAGGGGGCCAAGCATAACAAACAGCGCATGGTTTACATCAAATGGCTGTTAGCTGTGTAATTTGTATTTCTAGTTCATGATGAAAATTATAGGCATGTTATCAGTGTCAGACAGGTTCATATTTGATTATTTCATTATGACCAAGATAGCAAACCGTTGTCCGCTTTCTGGGTCTCTCTTGCTTCCTTTCCCCGTTTAGTTGTTCCATTGTCTTGATTATGATAGTAAACTGTCATCCTCTTTCTGGGTCTCTCTTGCTTCCTTTCCCCGTTTAGTTGTTCCATTGTCTTGATTATGATAGTAAACTGTCATCCTCTTTCTGGGTCTCTCCTGCCTTCCTTCCCCGTCTAGTTGTTCCATTGTCTTAATTGTGATAATGTGCAGCCGACTAGTTCTACTTTTAATTTTCATTGATATCTTTTGATTGTCATGATGCATTCCAGTTTTCCCTTTCTCCTAATGTGTCCCAACATTGCATGTTATCTTCTTCTGATGTGGGCAGTCAGTTCTGTTTGTGAGTTAACTTCTTTCAGGACATCTTGAGTACACTTTTTAACTGTTCAGTGTTCTCAATCTTCTGCGAAATACCAGATATGCCAATAAATTTTCAGACTGGACTATATTCTGTGACAGAATAAAACAACCTTGTGAAATCTGGCACAGTGGTCAGAAAACAGTGCAGTTCATGTAGGGCAGAAATAACAGATAAATTAATTCCTAGGAAACACCGGACAAAGAAGAGTTAAATGGGTAGAGTTTTCTGTGTACATATAATGTTTTTTCTCATCATGTTTGAATAGTTTGACTGTTGTTACTTGTGAATTTGTGATTCCAGGAACTGACTGTTTATCTTGTAAAATATAACCAGAAATATTTATCAACTGTCTGGTGGGGGGTATCATGTTGTTTAAGGATGTTAAACATGCAAAATTGGTTGTGCCTTACATTTTTTTAAAAGCTTTTTAAATTATGCCACAGTTTACAATGTATTGATTGGCACCTTTCCGTCTGTCCAGACGACAGAGTTTTATAGCGCTATGAGGAGACATGGGACTCACAGCCCATAGTGATGACAGGTGTGCACAGTGTTTCGTACAGAGTTCAAATACCCACCAACACTGGACTGCACTTACTTTCTAACAATATCGGAGGGTGTGCTAAATAACTGTCTTATATGGTTTAACTGTGTTCCTGTGGATTTGCTCCTGTTTGAGTCACATCCGCATGGTGGCTCATTGAGTCACAGGATTTCAATCATTCAGACTGCAGTTATATGGGAACAAATAAAAAAAAATTTATGTTATTCATTGTTAAATATGTATCCGGGTCAGTGTATTTGAAGCGTTTTATTGGCCAGAAAAACTTTACAATTTATTATGTATGAAATCTTTAAGTGATATTTATTCTGGTCGCGTTGTGTTCAGTTTTCTGATTAGTCACATGGTGTTGGGAACTGTTTGTTAATTTATACAGTACATAGTTTTGATTGGATGCCTGTGATCTGTGTATGGTGATATGTAAGTATCGAGGATATCACATATGATTTCAGTTTCACATATGATTACAGTTTCACATCGCGTTCACCAGCTGTAAACTCTGGCGGAAAATTCTGGTTGTTTGTCCACTTTTGGACTGCAGTCCTGTTCCAGAACCTGAGTGTTGCATTTGCATCCGCAGATGCACTCCGACTTTGAAGGAAAGTTTCACATATGATTACAGTTTCACATATGATTAGTTTCACAAATG